GCGGTCGGCCGGCGGCCGGCGGCCGGCGGCCGGCGGCCGGCGGGCCCGTGCCGCCTCGGGGCAGCGGCTCGGCACCGCATCCAGCGTGCGCGCGTCGTGCAGCAGCGGTGACCAATCGCTCCACCCCTCGGTCGCGGGGGGGGGGGGGGAGGTGAGAGGACGGAGGATCGCCGTGGGGGGAAACGGGTCCCGAGGGGAACGGGTCCTCGGGCTGTGCGCCGTTTTCGGGCCCTCGGGGCCCTCCACGGGCCCCGGGACTGTCAGAGAACGACTCAGGATGAACAACTCGTGCTGGGAGAAGGCCCCGAGGTCCAGGACCCGTTTCCCTCAAGGACCCGCAGAACAGAGGTGCAAACGGCCAGGAGGCATTGTACTGGGAAGGATAAGCAAAAGGACAACACGAGATGGCCACTGCTCGAGGCGACCGCCTCCAGGCCTCGGCCCACCTCAGGCACCCTTCTGTTTCAAACAACTTGCGCACATCAGACAACAGACGCACATCTCGCTTTCGCTTGGACGTCCCTTCCCCGCGCATGTTTTCTGCTCCGTGGGTGCGCTCCTCCGCCAGATGACCCGCAAGTCTCCTCGATGGCCCTCGCCGAGAAGACGCGCACACGTCCGAACGATGCCGAGTACTGTGATTACGGTTAAGTCGGGCGTGTCCCCCTACAGCGGGATCTTCGACGAAAAAATACAAATAAACTCAAACAATACTCCAGCATGGTAACACAAAAGCTCAAGCAACAGTCCCCAGACTATCTGTTTCGCCGCTTTTGAATCTTCCCCCTGTAGAGGGACAGGCCCGACTTAAGACTACGCTGGGGAAGCGTGTGCGTGGCGTGCCGCGGCGGCGGGCCCCGCGACAGGCTGCATGCCGTCGGAAGCCGTCTTGGGGGCCTCTTTGGGTCGGCTTAGGGCCCTCCTGGGGTGCTCCAGGGCCGTCTTGGATGCCATCTAGGGCGTCTTTGAGGCCTTTTAGGGCCCTCTTGTGGCCCTCTTGGAGCCTTTCTGGAGGCCTCTTGGGCCGTTCTGGGGCCATCTTGGAGGCCTCTTGGGCGATCTTGGGGCGATCTTCTGGCGGGAAGCGTGCCGCTCCGTCCCGCGGGGCGGGCGGCCCAGGCACGCTCGGGGCGCCGACCTCCGGGAAGGAGGCACTGACGGCGCGTCGCGCCGAATCGCGGTGGGCCCGTCGCTGCTCCTCTTCGCTGCTCCTCGTCGCTGCTCCTCCTCCTCCTCCTCCTCCTCCTCCTCCTCCTCCTCCTGCTCCTTGCTCCTCCTCCTTGCTGCTCCTCCTCCTCCACCTCGTCGTCCTCCTCCTCCTCCTCCTCCTCCTCCTCCTCTTCCTCCTCCTCCTCTGACCCGGGTCAATCCAAACCCAGACTCCTGCAAGATCCTGCACCCAAGCCTGGGTCAATGCGAAAGATCCTGCGACATCCTGCAGGATCCTGCACCCAGACCCGGGTCAGTGCGACCCTGGCCCTGCAGGATCCTGCAAGATCCGGCGCTCTGGCTGACCCCCGTTTGCATCGACCCCCGTCTCAAAGCTCCCGACCGAACCGCGGTGGGCCAGAACCGGCGGAGCGACACGCCATCCACAGATTCCCGATCCTATGTTTGGACGCCCGCCAAGGTACGGAAGAATGGGCACGATACCCAACAGCACATGTGGTCGAAAACCGATAGCGGCTGCTGTGGAGCAGGCGGCCGTCTGTCTCAAATTCCTGACAGTATGTACAGCGGGTCACCTTGCCGGTCCGTGCCATCGAAGCCGTAGAGCTCTAGCCGGCGCAGCTGAAGGGCAACGATAGGGGTGGACTGGCATAGGGGGAAAACATCGACCTGGAATCGGCGATACATCGCCGATAGAGCGGCGATGGGCCTACGTTAGTGGATCCGCACCTTCCTGGGCAGGGTGGGGCTATCAGGCGCCTACCGGCGATCCATGGGCGATGCATCCCCCCTTGGCCTATCCCCCCCCCCCCCTATCGTTGCCCCAGGGCAAAGCCCGGCCGACGAGCGCCGCGCGCGTCTGGGCCTCTCGGTCCGCCTCTGCGGCCGCCCCCCTCACGCCGTCACCTCCTCCCCGCCGCTGCCGCCCGCTGCGAGCGCAAACGCCTCTGCCTCCGCCTCCGCGGCGGCCCCTCGGCCGATTGAGGCCGGAGCCGGCGCCTCGGCCTCCCGGAGGCCTGGGCACCGCATGGGGCAGCCGGAGCTGGCGCTGCCCAGGAGCCACCGCCGGATGCACTCTGCGTGAAAGATGTGCTTGCAGGGCATCTGGCATACCGCGTCGTCCTCCACGAAGTCCGACAGGCAGATCGCGCAGCTGTCGTGCTGGAGATCGCCCGTGCCGCACGAGAGGGATCTGAACCGTACGCTCGGGAACCGCCCCTGCAGCCGCGACAGCGCCTTCTGGCACTCCAGCTGCGCTAGGCCCAGGCGCACGAGCTGCCTGCACCTCCTACGCCCGAGCTCAACGAAGATCGGCAGGAATACGCTCACGGTCATTGCCACCAAGTGCAAAGACCTCGCGCCAGGGTCGAGGTAGTCGAAAGCGACCACGAAATAGAAGACGGATAGTACCACGCTGAGGAAGGAAGTGGCCTGGAGCAAGGCCAGCACCTTCCAGATGTCGGGGTGGACCTCCGATATGCCTCCAAATTTGGTGAAACGGCAGAGTATGGAAATCACGACAGCCATCAGAACGAGCTTGCAGAACACTATGCCGACTTGTATGTGGGGCCACAGCCTGACGGATCCTGAACATATCCACCGTGGATCTCTCCACTCGCAGCCCTGACCTACGGCGATGTCGGAGAAGAAACTTCCATGAATACCGAACATGGTGCCTCGAATTACCATGTCCGCAAGACACACGCACACTAGCAACGTCACTGTGCGCCAGTACAGGCGGCCAGCGCTGTTGTCTCCAAGATTGTTGAACGGGAAGACCATCATTGCTTGGGCACGCCACCACCGAACGGGCAGCAACTCAACTTAGCATAACAGCTGAGACGTACATCGGCTCGAACTAACGTAACCTGAACCAGAATTGGCTACGGATAAACGGGTGCGGATCTTTGGAAGCATGTGTTTCGCGCTGAACTGCAATCAAAACCTTGAGACGTTGGAACCACCCCCCAAAATAAACTGAACGCCAGTGGATACTGGCCTCCCAAACTGGGCCCCCCCGCTCCCAAGGGGGCTTCGAACCGCACCCCGCCTGAGTAAGCGCGTTGAGGAATTAACTGTTCGTGTTCGCGTGCTGTCGTTCGACCCATCGTACAAGTATACCTTGTCAGCCGCGGGCCAAAACAAGCATGGGGCCAAACACGAGTCGGCCGACGGTACAGCTATCCACTGCGTGCACGTAGCGACCGGCGGAATCCCCATATCGTGCGAACCATGACATCGCGAGGGCGCTCCCAAGCTCTCCTGCTTCGAGAGGGCCAACGCAAACCTTAGCCAGAGGCGCGAGGCTGAAATCACCTTATTCGACACGCCCGGCAATTTGAATTCGGTGGAAGCCCGGATCTAAGATGCGTTGGTGGCGGCCCGTTGCATGCGTGGATGAAGCGGCCCGCGCTCAACAGTCAAACTCCAGGTCAACGGGCAGCCTGCAACCAGTCAAAAAGGAGCCGCGGTGAGAAATTGTAGAGTGAGTTGCAGTAGCTGCTGTTTCAGGATCTGCAGCAGGACCCGTAGTACGAACTGTAGAATTGTGGTGGGAGCTGTACTGCTGGCTGCAATAAGGGTTCTGTATCAGTTGTACTGAGATTAATCCTGCTGGCTGTAGTCGAATATGTAGTATGAGCTTGAGTAAAAAGTTGAATCATAGTGGGACCAGTGCTACCAACAGCAATGGGAACTCTAATGGAGCTGTACTGAGACCTGTGATGGAACTGCAGTAGAGCCGACTGAGAAAAACTGCCTGGATCATTGTCATCGCTATTGGGGTGGCCGTTGGCATTGGTTTCTTCAAGGAGCGAAGCGGGGCCCAAGGAGGGTCGTGTAGTTTGTCCTGAAAAGTGCATGGAGGGGACAATCGAGCTTCGTACAAATTTTTCAGACTGGTTCCCGCGTCCTCCTCGTCCTCGTCGCCGTCGCAGCGACCGCCGCCGTCCTCGTCCTCAGCTTTCGAAGATTTCTTGGACGATTCCAGAGGAGGTGCACGTCGGTGCGGGTCGCCGCCGCGGCCGTCGACGTCGTCTTCGAGGGGGGTGGGGGGGGCGATTTTCGTTGGCCCTCCTCCTCCTCCTCCTCCTCCTCCTCCTCCTCCTCCTCCTCCTCCTCCTCCTCCTCTCTCTCCCCCCCCCGCGAACGCACTGGACGGGGCGGCCCCACAACAACAGAAGGCCACATGTGGGCTCTGCCCCCGCAACCAAGATATTTCCGAGACGCCGGCTGGTGCTCGTACTGCGAAGGACGTCTGCAACCAAATGTACCACAAAAAGGGGGTCTGATACATCCGTGTCGATGGGATCCGCAAAGGTAAGTTCGCACGTGGTCGCAGCCAGGAGCCTCGAGACATCCGCGGGTAAGGGTTTTGGCAGACCAGATCAAACACAGGCGGAATGGCAAGTCTCGATCTGGAAACACGCTCGTTGCTTGACATCGGCCCAACATCAGAAACAACATGCTCTGTGGACGTATGTCTTCTTGGTCAAGACGGGTCTCAGGCGGGTCCGAGACGTAATGATTGCCTTCATGGGGTCCGAATTCAAAACAAACTGAACATATTTCCAGAGATGATCGCCTAACCCCTTGACAAACTCATTTCACACCCTCTACCATCTGGATACACGCCGTCTGGGTACATAAGCGAAGAGATAGCGGTTGCATACCCTGTCAGACCGAACAAATCTCCTCGTCATTCTCCCTGCGTCCTTGGGGCACTGGCAACACCGCAACCACTAACACACGTATCTGCGTCCGCAGCCTCTCTTCTGGATGGTTGCAAGCGCGAGAGAAATGGTGGGCTGCCCTGGAAACAAAGAATTGAATTAAACTATCGTCGTCTCCTCGAGGTTCCGTGCGCGCACGGTCACAGCGAAGTTGCAGCCGCCCAGGTCGGGAAGCTCGAAGCGGTGCGAGGGGAGCTGCTCCTGGTTGGAAGCGGCCGAGGCCGAGGTCTGAACTGGATGGACTTCGAGAAAAGCTGTCAAGGAAGGGAGACAAAAACCAATCCGCTCAAAATTGGCATCTGGAACCCTCCCGTGCTCCATCTGGTGTGATTTTTCACCCCCGAACCCGTGTTCGACGCGCCTGGGGCCCGAATACGGCCCCCGGGGACCGAACAAAAAACAAACAAAAACCTGTTCGGCTCCAGAACCTCGAGCCTGCCCCCCCCGTACAGCTCGCCAGAACCAGTGCTGGGCCACCTCAGACCTCCAGCCGGCTCCAAGCTCCTGGCAGCGCTGGCAGAACATCAGTCGGGGGCGCGGAGTCATGGATTCGCGATCCATGGAGTTGGCGCGCGGTCGCCAAATCCATGGATCGGGGGAGGTACCCTCCCCATAATGCGGCCAGTGCTGCCTCGCTCGGCGGCAGAAATCAGCGATTTCCAATGGAAACGGGGCCCGTTGCTAATCCACGCCCCCTTGATCCATGTTTGCGATCGCCCGAATCAGAGCCGTGCCACACGGTCTCGCAGTTCTCGCCGTGCGAGGCCCAAGCGTGCACGTCTGCGCGCCCTCGAACCGTCCCCTTCTGGAGAAGACCTTGCCTGCGGTCCGCGCCGCGAGGCGCGACGCGCGATGGTGCTTGCGCCTTCCACCCCAAGATGACCCCAGGAGGCCCCAAGAGGCGCCCAAGAAGACCCCAAAAGGCCCCCAAGACAGCCCCAAACACAATCCCAAGACAACGACCAAAAAGGAGCAGCGTTTCGCTTTGCTTGTGAATGTTTTCGGTCGTCGCCGTCGTCGTCGTCCCCCTTCAGGGTCGGCGGCACAGGCCGTAAGGTCTTATAAAGAGCAAACGCCTCCCGCGGAAACAAAAACGCTTGTGTCCACGAACAACCGGTCAAGGACCCAAGGAACAGCGAATTGCTTCCGAACCCAATATGTTCCCCATTTCATCGTCTTCACTGTCTCCGTCCTAGGGGCTCGTAGTTCTTTGTCTTTCCTGACAGCCCCGATGCCGAAGGGGGCATCCAAAAATCGAAAGCAAAGAACAATAGACGGTTGCGCTTGTTTGTAACGAATAGGCTTGAGATTTTCGGGCGCGGCCTAACCGACTAACCGACCCCTAGCAAACCATCCCCTTCCGTGACGTCCCCCTCGCCTCTGAAACTTCCCTCTGGCTGCACACATCACGTCTTGGGGCGAGGCGACGGGGGCATTACGGAAGGGGATGGTTTGCTAGGGGTCGGTCAGGCCGCCCCTGAGGTATATGCCAATCTTGGAGCTCGGGGCCCCTCGATCACTTCTCGATCACCAGTCACTCGTCGCAGACGAACGCTTGACTGTCGGGGCGCCCGAAACGGACCAGCGGAGGCCGTCGCGGCAGAACACATATTGGACTCGAAAACAAATTGGCAGCGCGCGCAAGGGGATGGCGCGAGAGGGGCAGCCCTCTTCGAAGGTGGGGGGGTGGGGGGTCTACTGCGAAAGCGAGCGGCTGTTTCGGAAGGTCTCCCATGTTCGAAGCAAGACTTCCCAGAGAAGCCTCCAAGGGCCTTCTGAGAAAAGGCCCTGTCTCCTGAGAAGCCTCCCTGCCTCCTTTCCGGGATCGGCGCGGGGGCTGCTAACGGGATAGCGGCGTTGTCAGTGGATCCCCCGGTGGTTGTATCTGCCGTGACCTAGCTTATAAATGGCTTACAGATGCCCCAAAGGAGGGTCAGCGATCCTGGCCAAATGGGCTCCACCCACTGTTGGCGGCGCACAGAGGGGGGTAGGGAGAGGAAGGAAGGCTTCTTAGAAGGAAGCTGCTTCATAAAGGCGCTGGCCCTACATCTGCAGACAAGGCCAGCGCCTTAAGGGGCAAGGGTGCTTCTGAGAAACCTTCCCCCTCCCCCTACTCCTCTCTGCGCAAGGCCGATTTGCCCCAGATGGCCTACGCAAGGCGTCAACGATCCGGGCTCCATGAGCTCCGCCAACTTCGCGGAATCATCTGCCCTCCCGATCCCAGTGGAGGAACCCGTCCCCTCAGTGGGCCCTGGAAACGACAGGGCTGTTTTTTTACCGGTTCCGTTTCGCAATTTTTGTTGCCGGTTCCAACGCTGTTGTTTTACCGGTTCCGTCTCCGTTTTTTGGCCGGTTCCGGCTCCAGGTCCAATCCTGGAGCCGTTTTTTTTGCCGTTTCCGGTCGCCGCTCTTGTTACCGCTTCCACTTCCAAGGCACATGTTTGTAGAAACGGGGAAAAAAACGGCCCTGCCGTTTCCGGGGCCCACGAAGCCCGGCACACGCCGACGGCCTGGGCGCACCGATCCCCGAGCCCCACGGCCGACGCCCGGCGAGGGCCCAGCCCCCCGAGCGATCGTGACCCCTCGTTGGTGCGCGGCCTGCTGATCGCTGCCTGCTGTGCGGCTGCGCAGGCCTGCGTGCCTCGGCCTGCCCCCCCGCCCCCCCCCCCCGCGACCCCGACGTCCAGCGGTGCGTCTGCTGCGATCCGCGGGCCCGGAGGTCCCGACCCGCCCCCCCGAGAACAGATCTTCGCCCGGGGCCCACGCTTGACGGCCCCGGGGCCCGGAAACGAGCACCAGAGGCCGAAGTCGAGGAACAAGTCCCGCAAGGACAACTCATATCGTCTGAGATCTGAGGAGGAGGAGGAGGGCAGATTAGGGTAGATCAGGAAATGGAGCATGCCTCCTCCCTCTGGGCCTGCATGTCAAAGGCCTCTCGTGCACGCTCCCGGCGGCATCATTCGACCTCCTCCCGTGGATCAGAAAAGGGATGCAACGCACCGGCCCTATACCATATCCAGAGGTACGATGATGATGATGATGATGATGATGATGATGATGATGATGATGATGATGATGATGATGATGATGATGATGACGAGGAGGAGGAGGAGGAGGAGGGGGAGGAGGGGGAGGAGGAAGAGAGGGATGATCAGGAAGAGGAGGAGGACGAGAGGGAGGAGAAGGAGGAGGGGGAGGAGGCGGGGTGAGGAATGAGGAGTGAGGAGCGAGGAGACAGGAGTGAGTAGGATGAGGATGAAGATAAGGATGATGTTGAGGAGGAGGGGAAAAAAAGAAAGCCGCACACCGGATCATTCCGGCGAAGGGCCACCCTCGAGCACAGCCGAGCCCTGCGGGGGCTCCTCCTCGCCAAGCGCCGCCCGCACGCAGCCGTCCGCGTCGAGTCTCAGGACCCAGGGCGCTGGACCGTCTCGCCGCGGGGGGGGGGGCGCAGCCGACGTCGGCGCCGCCGCCGACACGGTCGCCGCCGCCGCCGACGTCGTCATCGTGGTCAGGGGCATGGCCGACGCCGCCGCCGCCGGCGGCGGCATCGTGGCCGTGGCCGGGCTGGTGCAGCTGGTCGTGGTCTTTTCGTGGGCGTCGCTGCCGCCGTCGCGCCTGTCTTGAAGGTGGTCGTCGTGGTCGTGAACGTCATTGCGGCCATCGTGGCCGGTGTCGTCAGCATGGTCGTCGTGGTTGCGGCCGTGGTCGGTGTCAACATATTTCCAACAAAACACCCTACTCAAACCTCTGGCGTCGTGTGTTCTCGCAGCGTGGGCACTCGGATGCTTCGACCCTTTCCCGGAACGGCTTTTCATCCCGAATCGCTTTCCCACGGTCCCCCGGTTCCAGCAATTGCCCTGAAAGCCGCAAGTTGCCGACACATTCCGTCGTGATCCTTTCACGACGCGAATTGGTTTGGGTCATGTCAATGCTGTTTCTTTTGCTCCTTTCTCCTCCTCGGCGCCTATCTCGAAGCCCTCCGGAAGGCTGCCGATGTACCTCTCCAGCTCCTGAATGCAGCGGGGCCGCGCCCAACTGGAGGAGGCAGCGTTGGAAGGGGAACGAAAGGGGGTTACCAGCTCAGGCGGACAAGCGCCGACGTGGAATCAGCAATGCCTCGCTGATAGAGCGGCGAAAGGCCCCGAGAGCGAGTCCGCACGTTCCCGGGCACGGTGAATTCAGGCCCCTGGGCGTTTGGGGGTCGATACTTTCCCCTGGGGCCAACTGCCCCTCATCATTGCCTCTGCGAGCTGCCCGTGAGGAGGAAAGGGGCGCGAGAAAAACCGGCGCACAGACCGCTGGTCCCAAGCCAGAATGGGTTTCAGCGGAACTGTTTCTTGGCCGCGTCCGCCTGCCCCGTCGGGCCTGACACCGAGGACCGTGTAAAGACATTGGGTCTCATACTACGGATTCGGGAAGCCAGCCCACTGACCCCCCCGAGTCTCGACGACATCTAGGCCGTCCCCCGTCCCCGCAAGCCGATTTCAGCCAATGGCTGACCCTGGCCATCGCAAGGTTTTGCGCCACGAGCGTAAAGACCTCGGGGCGATGGGGATCGCACTTCGCGCTGCAATCCGCCAGGTACATCTTCTCGCGGCGCGGGTATCGGAGCACGGCAGCAGCGAGATCCACGAGAACGCGCACATCCTTCTCCAGTTCGCGTAATTAACTTGGCCTGCCACCTCATCTCTTTGTCGCGGATGATGTCGTGGATCGGCGTGTGACCGAAGATGCTCTGGCAATCCACGTTGTTCTCCATCATGATCTGCCAGATGCCGCGGAGGTGGCCGTGCGCGTTGTAGCTCAGCGTTTTGGGGAAGGTCTGGAACAACGACTGCGAGTGCTCGTGGCGCAGCCACGAGACACTCCAATACTTCTCTCGCTTTTGCGGGCCTGGCTGGCCGCCCGCAACGAGCGGTGTTGTTTTCCTGCCTTTGGCTGCAGACCGCCGAAGCCCACGAGCGCGGGGCGAGCTCGGCGCGGGGGCGGGCGGGCGGCGCGCCTGGGACGCGGTAGGCAGCACAGCGACTGCGCAATTGCGGAGGCCGCTCAGCGGAGCATGGGCGGAGCTGGCGCTGCTCTCCCAGCTGATTTGATGCGTGGCAATAGCTGGCGAGCCCCTGAGATTCGAGGGGGGAGCAGCGGCGGCCGGAGCGACATCGGCAGCAACATGAGCAACGAGCTGATGCACGCGCTGTGCAAATGTGTTTGTATAGTCCACTGCAAGCTCACAATTGCGCCCTCAAATATCAACGTGTTTGCGCGTACCGTCGCATTTGCATGTAATCCCCCTTGCGCACATGTCGCAGTTTGTTGCGCCGCTCCGCGGTTTCTTTCATGTGTTGTCTCTTCCTGCTTACAAGGCCATGCGCGCACCCGGGCAAGTTCGCTATGGCCGTGAGGGTCGCGCCAATATGGGCGCGGAGTCGGCCGTTTCAAACGCGCAGCTTCCCTCGTTGTCATAATCTCCTCCGTGAGCTCGCGGAATGCCCAGGCCAGGTTTCTGATTGCCCTTGCGTGGCCCATTCGCCTCTCTAAACCCTTTTCGTCGCCACTTCGGCAGCGCGTGACTTCGTTCGCGCGCGCCATCGAAATGCTTGAGCTCCAACATAGCGCAATCAAGCCCAGGATTTGTGGCCACGTCGCGATCTTCCGCAAGCCTGGCCACAGTGCAATTGCGGTCCACCGTGCAAGCTGGATTGCCCAGTCTGCTACGCGGACCGCGATCTAATTCCAACATTGATCTTTTTCGGGGAGCAGGGCTCTCCCCGGAGACCTCCCGCGGCTGGCCCGGCACCCGTCGTGGCCCCAATGGCGCGGCCATCGAGCGCTGGACCGGCGCTAGGCGCGGGGCGGTTGGCTTCGGCGTCCGCGACGCAGCCGCGGAGCACCTGGACAGCAACACTACCAGGCACTATTTTCATACTGGGCTTTTGCCTGGGTGGTGCTCCACCGGAGGCTTATCCTCCCTGTATCAAGCGGGGTCCTCTTCGCCTTCCGCCCGGCGATCTTGCCGCCGCTCATCAGCTTGGAACGCTGCTCAAGCATGGGCTTGAGGACCCCCCTGGCAAAGGGGTGGCGGTGGCTACCCTCGGCCGGGGCTAGAAAAACATTGCCATGGAGCTGAAGCGCCGAAAGATCATGCATGGCGTGCCCACGAGAAACCTCTGTCAATTTCGGGCGACAGGTCGTCTCGGGGCGAAGGCGCATCTCGGCAGCATCGGCGCGCCCCAGCCTCGAGAGCACCGTTTTCGCGCCCTCCGCTCTGCAGCTGCGGGCGCCAAAACGACCTTGGACACCGGGGGTCTCCCTTCTGGCATGCGCGGCGCGCGTGCACGGGGTGTCCAGTAAAAGGCTTGCCCACTTGCGCGCTGTGATAGCTCGAAGTGCGTTCGGAGTTTCGCCGGGGAGATCGAGAACCCTCGAGTTCCCGCTCGGCGCCGACCCCGCCATGGAACCCGCCTTTCAGGCCAATCCTCTTCCGCTCCAATCCTGGGCGCAAGCGGGGCGCGAACAATGGCTGCCTGGGGCCTCGAAACTACCGTCTTAGAAGTTGCCCTGAAGACCTCGGGTTTTGATTGGGGGCAAGTTCGAGGGCCTGGAGGTGCTGCGCTTGTACCTTAGGACGTCTGGGTCGGACGGCCCAGCGCCCGATCGCTTGGATCGGCTTCCGAGGGCCGTTTGCGATTCTGGTTGACTGGAAGAGAGATCACCGATGATCATTGCTTCCTCCCTTTATCAAGTGGCCTTGGTCTCGCGGGCGACAACTTGCACGGGGGCATCTTGAAGGCAGCTTCGCTCCCGAGAGCAGTTCGCGCAGGCAGCTTTCCCTCGGGCATTCTTGCTGGTGGATATTGCATTCGCATTCAGGGTGCTCTATTCATGGGTTGTCGGACGGTCTGTCCGAAGTGCAAGCTCCACGGTGGGCGCGAAAAGAAATGGGCGCGCCAGAAAGCGGTTGCTAATGTCTCAAAGACTTCATCTCATGATATCAGCACCGCCCGATGTCCAGTCCCCAGTTTGTCTTTCGAGGCCCCTCCCCCCCGGCTGAATCTCGAAAGTCTGGGGCGCCCTCCCCCCGAATGGGGTGTTCAGTGGCAATGTGGCGATCGAGGGCTCGGCTGTCTCCCCTGGAGATCTCGCGCTAGAAAGGGATGGCTGGGGGGTGGTCCAAGTGGGTCGCCACGGAGGCTGGGATGGGGCCTCGAACGGCGCCATTGCCCCACCTTGTCCAGCAGTCTGGCTGCGCCGAGGGCTGTGCCCGAGCCCGTCCATGCTGCGCGTGATTGTATGATGTTTGTAGATGCTTCGCATGGCGGCCCCAACCTGTCGTTGGACACGTGGCTTCCGGCGAACTGTGGCGCGAGATGTTCCGCAAGTGTGCCGACATAACTGCGCTCTCTTAAGTCTAAGAAATTCTATACGCTTTACGTAACCCCACCAGCCTGTTGTAGCTAATTCGCCTCGTTCGCGCCCCGGACTTTGCTTTCGCCGCCTGACCCTTGTCTCGTGGCCGCGACCAAAAAAAGTAACCCCACCAGCCCATCCAGAAATGATGCCCAGAGAAAGTGATCGAGAAAGGGTCCCTCAGTGGAGGCCTCTTGGAGCGTCTGGGGAGCCCCTTGGCGGTCCCGGGCGCCTCTTGGAGCGTCTTGGGCGCCTCGGAGAGTTTCTTGGGGCCTCTTGGGGGTCTCTTGGGGGCCTCGTGGAGGCCTCTGGGGCGCCTGTAGGGGCCTGCTGGGGCCTCCTGGGCGCCTCCTGGGGCCCTGTTGAAGCGCTCTTGGGAGCCTTGGGAACGCTCTTGGGGCCCTCTTGGGCCATCTTGAAGCCTCGGATGGCCATCGGAAGCGAAAAGGCAAGAAAACCCTAAACGTTGATTCCCATAAGGTGTTGGAAGGATGTTGGCCTTTTGGGGGTCTCCTGATGGAACTCTTTGGCCACTTGGAGCCGTCATGAAGCGGTCTCGGGGCCTCTTGGAGCATCGTGGGAGCTATCTTGAGGCATCTTGGGATATCTTGAGCCATCTTGGAGGTCATCTTGGGCTCTCCCAGGCGCTCGTGGAGTTACCTGAAGCAGTGCCCCCCCAGGAGGCCCAAATGTGGTTAAAACCTTGATGATTTGGCATTCCCGCCGAGGCCTCTTGGAACGTCTTGGGTGCCTCTGGGGGGTCCCTTGGGGCCTCGTGGGGTTCTCTTGGGAGCCTCTTGGGGGCATCCTGGGAACCTCTCGGGGGTTTCTTGGGGCCACATGGGGCCATCTCGGAGGAGATCGATGACAGGAGGGGGGCGTGGCTCAATTAGGAGCAAAACCTTAGTAAAACCAATGATTGTGGCTCCCTCGCCGAGGCCGTTTTGGACGCCCCAACGCGTCGCAGAACCCCCCGTCCAGGTCCTATAAGGGGAGGGGTCAAGACTCCCTCCCCGCTCGCAAGCCGTCTCGATCACCCCCGCCCGCCCTCCCAACACATACGTAGCATCCGAGCCCGGCCCGAGCCGCAGCATATTCAGCAGTCGTCTTTGGATGGCCAGCTACTGGGGGCGAATCCGCAACCGCCGCCGCCGCCACCTCCGCCGTTGCCGCCGCCGCCCGCCGCCGCCGCCGCTGCCGTCCGCCGCCTCCGCCGCCGCGCCGCCCGCCGCCGCCGTCCGCCGCCGCCGCTGCCGCCACTGCTGCCGCCGCCGCCGCCGCCGCCGCCGCCGCCGCCGCTCCCGCCGCCGCCGCCACCACCGCCGCCACCGCCGTAGCCGCCGCAGCCGCTGCCCCCGCCGCGGCCGCCGCAGCCGCCACCGCCGCCGCCAAGTGTACTCTGTATTATTTTTTTTGGCAGGGATGGTGGGGGGGGCCGCATCGGGTTCGCTGCGCATGCTTTGAATTTGGAGGCAGAATGTGTTTTGTACGGGTTTTTTTTCAAGGGATGGTGGGGGGGGCCCTCATTATTCCTGGTTGGCTCCCAGTCGCCTGGGGGAGGGGGTGTATACTAATAGCATGAAAGGACCGCACCGAACCGAGA